TAATGCTTGGCTTGCACACCAAGCAAATCTAGAAGCTCCCTAATTAAACACATGCTACAACTTCCTCACGCCCAAACTTCTTCGGCCGCCTTCCATATGCGCGTCACCCGCGTCGCTCGCACACGCCCGGTGACGCCTATTCCTCGTTGCGCGCGGCAACACCCGCGCGCTTACTTCCCACGCGGCGCTTCTCGCGCGTGCGCCCCGTCCGCTGTCCCTTCCTTGCGCGTGCGCGCCCAGCACCCCCTCGCCTATTCCTGTCGCACATAGGTAAGCGCCCGCGTTGCCCTCACTCGCGCGCTCGCTGCGCGCCTCGCTGTCGCTCCCCTTGCTTCGCGCGTCCCAACCATCGCCTGCGCCCGGATCGCCTACGGCGCCCCCGCGTGCACCCGTGCACCCGTCCATCTTGCGCCCGCGTTCTCCCCGCCAAACCCGAGTGCGCGGCCCGTTCGCCCACTCGTGCGCATCAAGTGCCGATGCGCACCTTTTGCCCTTTCGCTCTCCACTAGGCTCGCTGGACTCCCAAGCCACTTCCATATCATTCCCCTCCTCTTCAAGTCTTTCCTTGTCCCCAAGGATTAGAAAATTCAGCTTCCCATCTCGACCGTCCCCGTTATCTTCATCCGGCGACTCGCCTGGATCTTCAGTCCTCAATTTGACCCTCTTGCTTGATCTCCCGAACTCCATAGTTCCTTTCCAATAGTCAGTTGTGATTGGACCAAGAGTCTCCAACCACTGGCATCCAAGCACTATATCAGTTGCCTTTAATGGCAAGGCATAGAGATCCACTCTCATCCTTTGACCTTGAGCTTTCAGTTTCACTCCCTTGAATAGAATATCTCCTCGTAGTGTTTCTCCGTTTGCAACCTTGACTCCAAAGGGTTTCACTTTGGTAAATGGAATCTCGATTTCCTTGGACAACTCCTCATCAATGAAGTTTAGCGTAGATCCGCTGTCGACCAACACCTCCGCCAATTTTCCTCCCACTTCAGCCGTGAATGTGATCATCTTCGGACCACGCTTCTTGCTTTTAACCATATATAACAGGGACTCCTCCCTCGGTTCTTCTTCTTCCTCAAATTCCAACAAAAAGACCTCCTTACCCTTGCACCTGTGGCCTGGCATAAATTTTTCATTGCATGAATAGCAAAGGCCTTTTTCTCGCCGTCGCTGCATCTCTTCATCGGTAAGCCGTCGTACGTTGCTCGTCGTTCGAACAATCTCGCCCATTGGCTTGCTTTCGATTCGCGTCGGCTGTTCATCGGTCACGACCTGTGTGCGCTTAGTCTTCGTGCGCACGTCGCTTGGCTTCGCCTTGCGTACTGCCACGAGATGATCTTCGTGTAGTATGGCCGACTCTATAGCCGCACGCATTGATCTTGGCCTGTCCAATCTTACCTCGGCTGCCAGCTCAGCCTTTAGTCCACCAACAAACGTTCCTACCAACGCAGCCTCGGGCCAATCTCGTACCCTACTAGCGATTCGCTCGAACTCCTTTTGATAATCTCTCAGACTACCCACTTGTTTGATTCTTGACAACGCCTCGTTGTAGTCGTGGTAGTCACTCGAGCCAAACCTCGTGATAAGCTCTTTTTCGAAATCTCTCCATCGCATGTACTCGCCATGGTTTTTGTGCATCATCCACTGCCACCAAACGTTTGCTTCCCCATCAAGGTGATAGGCAGCAATTTGAACTCGTTCGTACCTTGGCACATCATTGATCTCAAAAAATTGCACAGCCCGACTCAACCATGCATCCGGATCTGTCCCCGTGAACGTGGGCATCACAATTTTCGGCCGTGTGCCCGCCCCTTCGTCCCGTGGATCATCGCGTTCGTGGTATCGTCGGCCCTCGTGGTAGCGCTCTCGGTCATCGTGCCGTGCCCGCCGCTCATCGTGTGAAGCCCGCGATGCGTACGATGCATACGACTGCCGGTCGTCCTCGTTTGCGCGCCTACGGTCGTGATGTGCGCGTTCACCATGCCGTCGCCGGTCGTCGCGTTGGTGACTCGCGTGTGATGCGTGCGAGCCCCGCAATCGGCGATCATCCTCGCGCTCGGTCCCGGTGCTCACCGCCGTGGACCGTGACCCG